GGGGGGGGGGGGAATCTTCATATTTTCCAACCGGGTAAAAAAAAAAAAAAAAAAAAGTGTGTGTGTATATAAAATGACTGCGCACCGTTGCGAATGGGGGTATAAAAAATCAATAGAAAAATCAACCGTAATAAAACAAATGAACATCCAAAAAAAAAACCAAAACAAAAGTGCGTGGATTATCGTCAATATTAATAAAAAGACGAAAAGGAACAACGCCAATATATCGGCATCGGGAGGAGACGCGAAAAAAAAAAAAAAAAAAGAAAAAAAGAAAAAAAGAAACTATCGGAAAGACACACACACACAGAAACAAAAGGGAGGGATTATTTTTCGTTCACCAAAACCATTTCCTGAGACGCGCTTGAGGATAATCCAGGAAAGAAGCAAAATATTTTTGATCCAATTGTTGCAGCATCCTTTTCCCCGTTTTCATTCCCTTTCTTCAGATTTATTTTGTTTTCCGTCGCCCTTCGTTCGTGCGTCACAATACATGGCGGCGGAGGCGGGGGCGAATTATCCCTCTTCCTTACATTTACCCAGTCATACTGGAAATCGTGCTTTACATTCGGTCCAATCGTGTCAAGAACAGACGCAATGAGAATTCGACACATCTCATATTGTGGACTCTCTGCAAATTCCAGTTTGCGAGAATAATTAAGCAGGTCTTCAAACTGCGAGGGGCACTTGGAACATATTTGTGCGGTCGTCAGTTTCTGCTTGATCTCACCAATTGCCTTTTCCTTTGCCTCACGATCCTTCATTCGAAGCCCCGACCACGGGAGATGCCCACGATAGAGGTAAATAAGGATATATGAAAGCTGCTCCATATCATCACGACGGCTTTGTGAAAAGCCTTTATGTGTACGTAGAGAGGCGTAGCGTGAGGTGCCAACGAAACTCTTCCCTGTTGCCATCTCGCGATGCTCGCCATTGGTTGAACGGTAACGAACGCTGAGGCCCAAATCGATCAGGTAGAGGTGACGTACATTCCTACCAACTCCCAAAAGATAATTATCTGGCTTTAAGTCTCGGTGTATATAACCAACTGAGTGAATAAACTCCAGGCGTGATAACATTTCATCCGCAAGCATGACTGTTGTTTTAAGTGAGAACCGTCCAAGTTTGGCATGAAGATCCTCCAGCGATGGTCCAAGGAGCGACATGATGAGGATCCTAAAGTCTCCTTCCTGGCCAAAGTACTTCAGTTCCGGAATACCAGGAGTGGTACGGCCTGGCATAGAGTTCTGTATATCCTGCATCACACGCGCCTCATGAAAAAGAAAACACCGTCCTTTGTTTCGCTCAAGTTTCACCGCGACTGGCTCGCCAGTAGAGACCTGCACGCCAGCATACACCTCGCCAAAACCACCTTTGCCCAAAAGACGATCAAGCCTGAACTTTCCTTGAAACAGAGTAATCTTCACGGATGACATGGTGTTAGACAAGGCGGAGGGGTTGGTTGGTGTGGGTATTATCCTTAAACAACAACAACAACAAAAAACAAAACAAAAGGATCTTTTCTAAATAACAGCCGTCCCCCACCCCCAACACGAAAACAAACAAACAAACAAAAAGAAGACAAAGAACAAAGAATTGCCGCTCCATTTCAGTTTTCATTGGAGGCAGCTACAGTGCTTTAAAAGACGGAATATTGACATGATCCGTGTGCCGTGGAGCGGCATCTCAGTTTTTAGATATCATGGGTCTCTTGTCAACGCATTTCTTCTCAAAAAACAAAATAAAACAAAACAAGAGTTTTTTTTTTCCTCATTTATTTATTTCTTTTTCTTTTTTGTGGAGGCGGGCGGCGGTGCTGTGCTGAGCTCTCATCCCTCCTGCATGTTTGACAGGGCATCACAGGCCTCCTCCAACACACCAGATGACGCGGTAAACCTACTCTGATTCTTCGACAGGGCATCCGTCAGAAGCCTCACGCACAACTTCAACTTCTTGTTTTCCTCCTCTGCGTGTTCTTTCACGTCGCAGGCCTCATCAAGTGCGGCACGCAGTGTGTCCAACTCCGACGCTTTGGGGTTATCGCGTCCTTCCACCTGCCGCGTTCGAAGCCTTTCCAATTCCTCCTGTGCCCTACAAAGCGATCGCTCCGCATCCGCACTTCGCTGAAGCGCCTCTTCTTCGCACTTACGGGCGTCCTCCATAAGTTCAACAAACTCCTCCAGCTTTTTCAATGAGTCACTCACTTCCAGGGACTTCTGATCCCGTTCCTCCGCGAGCTCGTCGATGAGAGCCTGCGCCTCCTCCTGCTGAGCAATTATCTCCTCCTTCAGACGATTTATTTCGTCATTCTTCTCCCTTAGAGCTCCCTGTGCTTCTTGCAACGACCCGCGAAGCCCTTTAATGTCACTTTTCAAATCTTCAAGCGCAATGGCATCGTCAGACTGCTGCGCACGAAGCTCCTCCACCTGTTTCTGGAGATGCGACACAATTTGCTCATGCTCCGTTTGCAGCTCCCTATGCATTCTTTCCAATTCAAAGAGTTCTTGATCACGTGCGGCTAGCTTTTCAACAGCAACCTTCTCCCCCTCACGAGCCTTTTCGAACTTTACGACAAAGTCATCTAACTGACCAATCACGTGAAACAACTCTTCTCGCTTGTCGTGGAGTTCTTCCACCAGACCTTCAAGACGCTCATTCAACGATTCCAAATGAGCATTCTTCACATCAACGACTTCCTCTAGGTCAGACAGCTTTTGACGCAGTACGCTAAGCTCATTTTCACCGGATGCAACCACAGATGCGTTCTTCAACGTCTCAAGATTTCTTTGAGTCACTTCCAGCTCCAATAAAAGCCGCGCCTTCTCCGCCTTTTCCAGTTCAATCTCACGCGACATCCCATCCCTTTCAGCCAAGAAATCAGATCTCAACATTGCAAGCTCCTTATTACTTAAACTCAACCTCTCAAGTGCATCCTTTTCAGCACCACTCACCAAAGAAGCCCTTTCCATATACCCCTCAAGCATCTCAATCACATTACCATCACCCGATGAAAACACGTGCAGACCACTCATAGCACTGCTCAATTTGGATTCAATAACATCAAGTTCAGCAACTAGCTTATGACATTCAGCCTCCTTCTGTGAAAGATCCACTGCAAGCTTCTCGATGTCAGCCTCCCTCTGCACAAGTTCCTCTGCGAGCTTCTCATTGTCAGCCTCCCTCTGCGCAAGGTCCTCTGTCAGCTTCTCGATGTCAGCCTCCCTCTGCGCAAGTTCCTCTGCGAGCTTCTCATTGTCAGCCTCCCACTGCGCAAGTTCCTCTGCGAGCTTCTCATTGTCAGCCTCCCTCTGCACAAGTTCCTCTGCGAGCTTCTCATTGTCAGCCTCCCTCTGCGCAAGTTCCTCTGCGAGCTTCTCATTGTCAGCCTCCCTCTGCGCAAGGTCCTCTGTCAGCTTCTCGATGTCAGCCTCCCTCTGCACAAGGTCCTCTGTCAGCTTCTCGATGTCAGCCTCCCTCTGCACAAGGTCCTCTGTCAGCTTCTCGATGTCAGCCTCCCTCTGCGCAAGATCCTCTGTCAGCTTCTCATTGTCAGCCTCCCTCTGCGCAAGGTCCTCTGTCAGCTTCTCGATGTCAGCCTCCCTCTGCACAAGGTCCTCTGTCAGCTTCTCGATGTCAGCCTCCCTCTGCACAAGGTCCTCTGTCAGCTTCTCGATGTCAGCCTCCCTCTGCACAAGGTCCTCCGTCAGTTTCTCATTGTCAGCCTCCCTCTGCGCAAGGTCCTCTGTCAGCTTCTCATTGTCAGCCTCCCTCTGCGCAAGGTCCTCTGTCAGCTTCTCGATGTCAGCCTCCCTCTGCACAAGGTCCTCTGTCAGCTTCTCATTGTCAGCCTCCCTCTGTGCAAGTTCCTCTGTCAGCTTCTCATTGTCAGCCTCCCTCTGCACAAGTTCCTCTGTCAGCTTCTCATTGTCAGCCTCCCTCTGCGCAAGGTCCTCTGTCAGCTTCTCATTGTCAGCCTCCCTCTGCGCAAGGTCCTCCGTCAGTTTCTCATTGTCAGCCTCCCTCTGCGCAAGGTCCTCCGTCAGTTTCTCATTGTCAGCCTCCCTCTGCGCAAGATCCTCTGCGAGCTTCTCATTGTCAGCCTCCCTCTGCGCAAGGTCCTCCGTCAGCTTCTCATTGTCAGCCTCCCTCTGCGCAAGGTCCTCTGCGAGCTTCTCATTGTCAGCCTCCCTCTGCGCAAGATCCTCCGTCAGCTTCTCGATGTCAGCCTCCCTCTGCACAAGGTCCTCTGTCAGCTTCTCGATGTCAGCCTCCCTCTGCACAAGTTCCTCTGTCAGCTTCTCGATGTCAGCCTCCCTCTGCGCAAGTTCCTCTGTCAGCTTCTCGATGTCAGCCTCCCTCTGCGCAAGGTCCTCTGTCAGCTTCTCATTGTCAGCCTCCCTCTGTGCAAGGTCCTCTGTCAGCTTCTCATTGTCAGCCTCCCTCTGCGCAAGTTCCTCTGCGAGCTTCTCATTGTCAGCCTCCCTCTGCGCAAGTTCCTCTGCGAGCTTCTCGATGTCAGCCTCCCTCTGCGCAAGTTCCTCTGCGAGCTTCTCATTGTCAGCCTCCCTCTGCGCAAGTTCCTCTGTCAGCTTCTCATTGTCAGCCTCCCTCTGCGCAAGGTCCTCTGCGAGCTTCTCGATGTCAGCCTCCCTCTGCGCAAGTTCCTCTGTCAGCTTCTCATTGTCAGCCTCCCTCTGCGCAAGTTCCTCCGTCAGTTTCTCATTGTCAGCCTCCCTCTGCGCAAGTTCCTCTGTCAGCTTCTCGATGTCAGCCTCCCTCTGCGCAAGTTCCTCTGTCAGCTTCTCGATGTCAGCCTCCCTCTGCGCAAGTTCCTCTGTCAGCTTCTCGATGTCAGCCTCCCTCTGTGCAAGATCCTCTGCGAGCTTCTCGATGTCAGCCTCCCTCTGCGCAAGATCCTCTGTCAGCTTCTCGATGTCAGCCTCCCTGTGCGCAAGTTCCTCTGTCAGCTTCTCATTGTCAGCCTCCCTCTGCACAAGTTCCTCTGCGAGCTTCTCATTGTCAGCCTCCCTCTGTGCAAGTTCCTCTGTCAGCTTCTCATTGTCAGCTTCCCTCTGCGCAAGGGCGCGCGTCAACTGTTCGTTGAGTGTTCCTGTCTTGTTGAGCTCGTCGAGAGTGACGCAGTAGAAAGGTTCGCTGCGCACTACTTCAGGGGCCACTGGCACGTCAGTATTTGGCGGTGGCACCTGCGGTGAAGCGCTATCGCAGAGTTCTGGATGTGATAGCCTCTCATTTATACGAGCGTTGCGCATCTCTCGGTGCGCAACAAGTTCAGCTTGCATTGTAGCACGGGCTTGATCGTGGTCCGCGCGAAGCTGTTCTACCTGTTTTTGATTCTCCTCCACCATTGCAGTCAGCGCACCGCGTGTGGTGCTAATGAGCTTCTCCGCCATCGCGCGTTCATGAGACGCCTCGGACACCGCCGCGGACAAACGGGACTCCAGCTCCCTCACGCTCTTCCCTGCTGCATCGCTAGCTTCCACCATCTCGGCCTTCTTTGCAGCGAGCAGCGCAGCCAGGGCAGCGTTCTCCCCCTCCAACGCCTTCAGCTGGACGAGAGCGTCCGCCAGTTCGCGCTCCAGGATATCCACATCACCCGTAGCAGCAAGTTCCCTTCTCGCAGCGAGCTCCTCAAGTTCACGACAGCGGCTATACACACCCTCAATTGTCTTACTCGCGTCCGCCTCTGCACCCTCAATTACCGCCTCCCTCTGCGCAAGATCCTCTGCGAGCTTCTCATTGTCAGCCTCCCTCTGCGCAAGGTCCTCTGCGAGCTTCTCGATGTCAGCCTCCCTCTGTGCAAGTTCCTCTGTCAGCTTCTCATTGTCAGCCTCCCTCTGCGCAAGTTCCTCTGTCAGCTTCTCATTGTCAGCCTCCCTCTGCGCAAGGTCCTCTGCGAGCTTCTCATTGTCAGCCTCCCTCTGTGCAAGGTCCTCTGTCAGCTTCTCATTGTCAGCCTCCCTCTGCGCAAGTTCCTCTGCGAGCTTCTCATTGTCAGCCTCCCTCTGCGCAAGTTCCTCTGTCAGCTTCTCATTGTCAGCCTCCCTCTGCGCAAGTTCCTCTGTCAGCTTCTCATTGTCAGCCTCCCTCTGCACAAGTTCCTCTGCGAGCTTCTCATTGTCAGCCTCCCTCTGTGCAAGTTCCTCTGTCAGCTTCTCATTGTCAGCTTCCCTCTGCGCAAGGGCGCGCGTCAACTGTTCGTTGAGTGTTCCTGTCTTGTTGAGCTCGTCGAGAGTGACGCAGTAGAAAGGTTCGCTGCGCACTACTTCAGGGGCCACTGGCACGTCAGTATTTGGCGGTGGCACCTGCGGTGAAGCGCTATCGCAGAGTTCTGGATGTGATAGCCTCTCATTTATACGAGCGTTGCGCATCTCTCGGTGCGCAACAAGTTCAGCTTGCATTGTAGCACGGGCTTGATCGTGGTCCGCGCGAAGCTGTTCTACCTGTTTTTGATTCTCCTCCACCATTGCAGTCAGCGCACCGCGTGTGGTGCTAATGAGCTTCTCCGCCATCGCGCGTTCATGAGACGCCTCGGACACCGCCGCGGACAAACGGGACTCCAGCTCCCTCACGCTCTTCCCTGCTGCATCGCTAGCTTCCACCATCTCGGCCTTCTTTGCAGCGAGCAGCGCAGCCAGGGCAG